GCAGTCTGCATCCCTCTTTGTTGGGACTCTTGTTGGTCCATTCCTTGGGAATGCTGTTGCAAACAGGGCAGCCAGGGGGCTGAACAAAGGAGCCAGATTAGAGTGGGACTTTGGCAGCCACAAGGATGAGATTGCAGACCCTTGATTCACTGATGGCAGATAGTTGGGAGCTTTCTGGCTGCTGACCCTGTTGAATGGATGCAGAGGCACCTTCTTTGGTCTGACATGTGACATCCAGCATCTTCTTTGAGGCAACCAGCACCCTTTTCTTAGGCCTCTTTGCTTCTCTGTCCAAGACAGAATGGGACAAAATGGTGAGACCAGCCCTCCAAGCTGAAGTGCTTTGGTTTGGGTTGCCAGACTAGCAACTATGCCTGCAAGATAATTCCTTTCTCTGTAGCAAATGCCATCACACACGTGCTCACTTGCGCCTGTATTCCAGCTATGGCTTGCTCTTGAGTGGTGAGCCTCAGACGCAATTGACAATACACTTGTACCCAGAGTGCAGGCTGGCAGAGGATGCTTGACCCAGCACAAAGCGTAGCTTGAGTGATGCCTTCCACAACAACAAGACGCTTACCCGTATGATCCTTCAGAACCTCTGCACAAGCAGCGTTGGTGCTAATTTGGCCTTTCAGACTTCCAGACTGTGCTTGTTGGAGCTCAGTCGAGCTACTTAGCAGATTGATGGCAGTTTGCATCCCTCTTCATTGCAACTCTTGTCGATCCATGCCTTGGAATGCTGTCGCAAATACGGCAGCCATGGGACTGAACACCGGAGCCGGATTGGAGTGGGACTTGCGGAAGCGGGATTCGAGGGTGGGCATGTCAGCAGAATGCCAATCCAAGTCAAGCTCAGAGGCACAATCAGACTGCATGATTGGCAAGCGCGAGAGCGTTGCACAGCCATGCATACATGCAGGTGGTCTCTACTCACTCGAGGACAATGACCTTGTCGCCTTTGCGCTTGAGCATGCAAATCTCCTCTGCTTGAGAAGCAACTTGCTTTTTGAGATCTCTGTTTTCCGTTTCGAGTTGCTCGAATGCCAACTTCTTCTTGGCAAGTCCCCTTGTGAGCGCCTTGTTCCTGATTTGGTGTCTCTTGTTGTTCCCCACGAGGTTGGTGTTCACGTGCTTGAGATCGTCCCGTTCTTTGGTCAGATCATTGAGACGCTTCTCACCATCACTGCGGGGGTTGATCTGCCAGCTTGATGAGGTCAGTGCTCAATTATGAAATCCCTCAGTTTTGAGTCGCAGTGGAAACTGGGAAGAAAGGTCCATCATGGAATCTTCCAGAGTATAACGCGCAGAACCAAAAGGACGCTCCAGGGCGGAAGAAGAGGGACCCTCCTGAAAACATAGGGGGCAGGAGGTAAGTATGAAACGTCAGCAAGTAGCAGATGAGTGTCTATATGCATAAAGAACTCACGGAAGGGTCCGAAGGGCAGGGGCGTCTATGATCAGCCTGACGAGCGGTCCCCGTAGAATCGGGAGAGTGAGATTGATGGACTCTGGCAGAGGCGCGCCTGGATGGCGGCCTGTGCTTGTTCTGCAATTGTGAACATGACAAGTGATGCAGACATGAGTCTGTGCTTGCAATCACTGATCGCTTGTTTGGCAAGGCTCACCAGCTCCTTCTCGTCCAGCGCCATTGAAGACAGCAAGGCAAAGTGTTCTTTTTCGACCTTTTTTGGTGCCATCGTGCGGTTGGCAAGACAAGGGGAGTTCGTGACTGCCAAGGAGTGTCATCATGGCGGTGACTGGCTTCGCGAGTAGTGTCGTCCGCCATACTGATGACTGGATGTATGCAGAGGCACGACTGCAATCTTTGATGCCTGCGAAGAGGATGTTGGTAACAGAAACGTCTACAAGAGATATCTTGGTGCTGGTGAGAAGAGCGAGGTGGACCTCTCAGGAGTTCGAGTCCGAGTGACCGCTGGAACAAATGCGCGAAATTCGAGCGAGGAAGAGGAGTCCCAAAAGAGCAAGTTTCCCTTGAATGGCAAGTCCAGTCGTGCATCACGCTCGCTTTTGGACAAGCTAGAATCGTTCCGTCTCTGATACCTGCGCGATCTGTGCTTGATGCTGACAACCGCCTCCCGCGCGCTCACTGGTGCCTGCACAAAACAGAATTTCACCGCCTCTGTCCAGACACACGAGCTCTGGGGACCACGCAACCACCAAAAGCGTCCATAGCTTCTTTGCCGAGAATCGAGACAGGCTTATCAGCTCCAACATGCGCCCACTTCCTTTCAGTACTTGGTTCGACCCAAATGAAGCTGTACGCAAGCACAGCTTTGCGGCCTCGCTACTTTTTCGATTCAGCACCGATCTGATTGTTCGCAAATTTGCCCGATAGTCGTCGGCCGAAAGTGACATCAAGATTGACAACCTACGGGACAAAGCTATCGCACTTTTGATTAGATCGATTTCTTGATGAACGTAGAGCCATCGTCGCATTTGATGCTAGGGAATCCCCACCAATTGATCGAAACACTGAGCGCTCACAGGCTGGAATACAGCTTCCTTGGTCCTCTTTCGACCAATCGATCCCTCAAGCGTCGAAAAAGCTCATACGCAACGATTGCGACGACCATGGCGGCCACAAGGATGAGATTGCAGGATCCAAAGCCAGAAATGGGGAATGGTTGGGGGCTTTCTGGCTGGTGACTATGCTGGATGGACGCAGAGGCAACTGCTTCAGTCTGGCATGCGGCAGCTGGATGGACGCAGAGGCAACTGCTTCAGTCTGGCATGCGGCATCCAGCATCTTCTTCGAGGCGGCCACCCCCCCTTCTTTCTGCCTTCCCACTCCATCCGGGACAGAGTGGGATCTAGTGGTGAGACCCAGTCCCTCAAGCTGAAGTGCTTGGGTGCGGGTTGCCAGGCCAGTAACTTTGCCTGCGAGGGGACACCTCTCTCCGTGATGCTCTGAGATCTGCTGCACAAACGTCAAGTGTAGTCTGCACTTAGTTGTGCACCTTGACGCAGTCTACTCCTACACCCACACTCACATTCTCTCCACCAGTCAAGCCAGTATCACAATCTGTCCATTCTTTTGCTTCTTGCTCTTCACACACCACTTTGCCATTCTCTAGCTGCCATGGCTCCTGTGAAGGACATCAGAGGACCAAGACTTGCTCAGCGTCTTCTTTACAATGGCTCATAGAGCGTCTTGCAAAGTCACATTCGTTTGCATGACCGGCGATCCGAAACGCCATTTGTGGCTCGAAGTACTGGAGCCCGTGTTCGAAGCGCACATGATCACACCATGCATTCATGCTATGGAGGCGAGGCGACGACACCATCCGTCCGCTGTTCATTGTGGCTAGTATCTATTGACGACAGCTTGAGCTGAGGGGAGTCGAAGTCAGCTTTGGCTGCGAGCTGCAAAATCAGAATTGGAGAGGCGCTTTCTACATCTATGCATGCATGCAGGTCGGACCCGGGACCAACAGCTGTTGCTGCTGTTGGAGCTAGACCAGATGTAGGCATCACGTCTCTAGCTTGGCCATGCACTGGTGACTTACCTGCCAGAAAGTGCGTAGTTGAAGTATCCGCTTGCTTCCGTGCCCAAATCGCCTCTGTGAGCAGGGTTCTCACACAGGAACAGCTGCTTGAATGCCTTGCTGCTTCTATTGCTTGCTGCAAGCAGTTCCATTACCTTTTTGCAAGGTCTTGCTGGTATGTGGCACTCAAACCATAGAACACACGCAATAGAATCGACAAACTTTGCAAGCTACCAAGTTGTCAAGTCTTTGATGGTCATTAATTTTTTGTGATGTACATGACATCGAGAGGGGGTCCAGGGGATGGGATGGAGCTCAATGAGCGCGAAGCACGAGACCCAGCAGGATGGCGAGGTTGATTGCCATTGCGGCAATCAACATATTAACTTTTGTCTTCTGCTGTTGGACCGTGAGCTCAAGACGCTCAAGGCACAATGTGAGGGTGGGCAAGTCCACAGTGGCGGCGCAGCGCTCAAGGTCTTGCAATTTGCTTTCCAGTTGCTTGGACTTCTTTTTGTGCTCCACTGCACGCTTGGTGAGAGAGATGGTGCTAACGTGGACCTCGACGCGTGCAAGGCGCTCCTTCATGCTGTTCAGCTCCCAGTTGATGGGAGTGGTCGTGTCCTGTGCACAATCAGAGATCATTGATGAGTCTTTGTGACAAAGGACCTTGGCAAGGAGATACTTACCGCAGGTGGGTCATCCCCGATGCTGACCGCATGAGTATTGGCGTAGGTAGAGGGCGGACGCTGGATGCATTTGTGCGTCAAACCGGTGTGAGCTTCTCTTCCGTATGGAAAGTCGAGAATCACGTATGTACTCACAGAGGAGCCACTTTCAGAGCGACGAGGTTGTTCAGGAATAGATCCTGCAGAGGAGCGGGGACGGCTGATTGACAACAAGCAACAAAGCATTAGCAGGTTGGAGGGGCGCAACGACATGTCGTAAGAGCAAGTGTAGGACTGTAGAGATGAGCAGGAAAGCAGTGATAAATGAGTGCGCGCAAAGACAATCTGGCAAGGTTCCCTGACCATGATCAAAGGTTTTTGCGGTGGCAATCTGCTGCTCCACTGCTGCTGACTGAGGGTTGGGGGGGGG